GTGTCACATACAGAAATGTTTTGATATTTGCAACCATAGTAAAATAAAGACTTATATTTTTGATATTTATTTTATATATTGAAATACCATTTAACAAAGAAAAATCAACCACAAAAATGAGTTCGCGTGTCACCTCTGACACGCGTGTCATAGGTTCGCCATCACTGTCCTAGCCGCTGTGCTAGCGGCACTGGGTTGATTGAAGTTTGAGGTCACGCCTTTTTCTGCGCTGCAGTCAGACAATTCTTTCTAAGATACAAATGCCAGCCTGCTATTCCCCGTCTGACTGCACTGACTCCCGGATTTTCTTTTTTAAATAGATTTTTATTGATTTCAGAGAGGAAGGGAGGGGAAGAGAGAGAGATAAAAACATCCATGACGAGAGAGAATCATGGACTGGCTGCCTCCTGCACGCCCCACACTGGGGATGGAGCCTGCAACCCGGGCCTGTGCCCTGACCGGGAATCAAACCCTGACCTCCTGGTTCATAGATCGATGCTCAACCGCTGAGCCACGCCGGCTGGGCCCTTATTAACATGGCTCACACTCACCTTGATCAGCTGTTTACCTGATGGTCAGTTCCATGAGGGCAGAGGCGGCGGGCGTCTTGTGTGTGGTCCCCTGGCCCCCGGCAACAGGGCCAGGCCGCCTGTGGACTCAGCCCTGGGGGAGCGCCCGGAGGATGTGCAGCCTCAGACACGAGGCCCTTGCTGCAGGCGGTCAGTCGCCTCGCTCTGAGCATCAGACTCACGTCCACTGGGCCACCTGACGGAATGAGCTCCAAGTTCAACACGGAAACGCCTTTTGCATGGTCCCCTGTGTCGCGTGGTCCGGGCCCTCGTTCCTACCGGAGGGGCGTCAGCACTGGAGGCCCCTGGTGCTCGGCCAGGGACCGGCCCCCACTGCACCCTGGTGGCTGGACTCTGGGCGTCCAGAGGCCTCGGGGACCCCAGGGCTGGGAGGCCCCACGGCAGCGGCCACAGCGCCTTTCCTTTCTCCAGTTCTTCAGGGAATTCCTGATCCCGGAGGAGAGGATGGACGCCATCATGGTGTTCATGGAGGCCATGGCCAGCGACAGGGAGGACAACGTCAAGGCCGCGTCCAAGATCCTGAGAATGACCTTGAGGTCCTCGATGCCGGAAATCGGGAAGGTAGCGGCCGTGAGGGGCCGATGTCAGGGTTCCTCCTCCTGTTCTTTTTTTAAAAAAATCTTTTGATTTCAGAGAGGAACGAAGGGGGGTGGGGGGAGAGAGAGAGAAACATCGATGATGAGAGAGAATCACCAATAGGCTGCCTCCTGCACGCCCCCTACTGGTGATCAAGCCGGCAACCCCGGTCAGGGCACATGCCCGGTTTGGCTCGATCCCCAGTAGGGGGCATGCAGGAGG